AAGGTAAGGTGCGCAGAAATATGCGTACGCACGGTTTTATAAATCTGAATTTTTTTTGGCGAATGCCATTTCCGCCTTTTGGCCGTATGTTCACTTTTAGTATGGTTTCCACGCAATCCTTTATAAATGAGACCCCAGGTCTTTGTAAAGTAACACCTGGTGCCAGAGACTCACTAGTGAATTAGTCAAACATTTGTTCTTAAACAGTGTTGCCTTTAAAAGAGCTGGTAGACAAGCTTTTCTTTTCTGTTTTCAGTTTMCAAATAATCTGACTCTTCCCATGGTCTTCTCCACGCTGCTGCATGCTTTTAGTGAGGAAAGTCTTTGTGCCGATCAAGTTTGTAGTCATTTCCTTCTTTGCAGCAAGGAGCTGGCGGCTCTTAGAGAAAACAATTTAAAAGCACAGAAAATTAAAATCTGAAAGGAGTCCGACTCAAGAAACCTGCGGCTGGGTGGTCTCAAAGCTATAAGTCAGCACTTACCAGCCCACCTTTTTAGGAGTAGGTGMGAAACGTTTTTGCCTCTAACTCGAGTTTTAGTTTATTTTAATTGTTTTACCTCGTTCAGAGGTTAAGAGGCACGACAGATGGAGGGTGTGTCTGCCCCCGTTTGTCTTCTGAATTGGACGAGGGGTCTGTAACATTATGGGACATCTTCTGAAAAAGCCWAGAATGTTGTCTCAGTTTTCRTAGTGAAAATTTGGCGCTTCACCTCACGTGATACATACTCATGCACGTGTCATCATTTTTAAATACTGTCACCTTATTTTAAAAACCTTGTTTAGCAAAAATTTACCTTCAAACTGCCCAAACCTGTTCCCTTAGTTCTTGATYAGATGAACCCTTTATAAGTTCCTTCAGCTCCAAGATAAGTCTTAAAAACAACTCTCCCTATACGTATTAACGGATTAGCTGTGTGTGATCACATCTTTTTCTAGTGTTTAACTTCTGATGCTGCTGATACCGACTCAAGCTGGACTTTTCAGTTGGAACAGTTGATTTTCAGAGTCCTGTTCAGTGGCTGGCCCACCTGTGGATGAGGTTAAGGCACCTGGCTGTGCTGCAGTGCATCGGGCTGCTCTCTGTTAGAGGCTGTGTGCTCTGAGATGTTCCTGTAGGTTCAGAACAAAACAAGCTGCAGGTCTGCRTTGAACTGGTGTAAGTCTAGAGCTGCGATACGTGCCCCACCCCCCACCATGCTCTCATTTATTTAATTTTTTTACAGTCCTTATGTTTTTATGTAGAGAATTGTGGAAAAGCCTTGAGCTCCTATACGCTCTTTATGGTTTTCTTACAAAGAACAGRTTTCCCTTTCATCTTRTAGTTATTTTAAAGGGGACATATCATGCACAATCCACTTTTTTACCTGTTAAATGCATTTTGTGCACTTGTATTCTCTACGAGTTCAGAAATGTATAATTTAGTTTCTCCTGGTGCTGCGGAGATATTTACAGGGTTCCCACAGGTCCTTGAAATCCTTGAAAGTTTGTGAATTTGAAAAAAAAAGATTTCAAGGCCCTGGAAAGGTTGTGAGAACAGACAAAAATCACACTTGTCCTTGAAAGTCCTTGAATGTTTTTTTGGGTATTGAAGTTCTCTGTTCACGTGACTGATTTTCATCATTTGTAAAAAAAATAAAATAAAATAAAATAAAAAACCAAAAATTTACATTTGTTGTGCTGGATAACTCAGGATTTTGGTAAATGACGTGGCTTTCAACAAATTACGTAAGCCATATTCATAGTTTTATCCAATCAGAGCAGAGTAGGGCAGGCCTTTTTTTCTGAGCCCAGGTCAGAGCACCACAGCTCCTCCTGGACATGTTCACATCCCCTCCTCCCAAACTGAGCTGCTGAACCTCCCAGGACTTAATTACATGTCTGTGTATTGTGGACATGAAAGTAGAGTATACATTTAATCCACTTTCTTTTATTGATTCTGACTCAACAGCTTCTATGTTGTCAGTTTTTCATTGAATTTACATATTAAACCTGTTTATTGGTAACATTCTGYGGYAGCAGCAGGTAATTGCCATCGCGTGTGGTTCTTAAATTTGAGGAAATTGGTACTGGAAAGTCCTTGAAAGGTCCTTGAATTTGATGTTGACCAAGGTGTGGGAACCCTGTATTTATATTCTGTTTGGGTCGTATTTTTCTACCCGTTCAGTTTTCTCTATTTTCTATGTTTTCTGAACAATAATGTCACAGTATTTGCGAAATAACTGCTAAATAAAGTCTGGACTTACCAACTATAATTTGGTGGTCTTCATTCTCCTCTGGTTCTGGGTCAGACTCTGGCTCCAACATGTAAGGCTGGATGAACAACTCTTCCCTCTTTGACATATTGTAATTAGTTAGTACCAAAAAAAAAAAAATTTCTGCGCTGCAAGATGGTCGTAAAGCCCTCTATCAAACTAGAATAGACCAGTCTGGAAGCTGGACGGGGGCGGGATTTAAAGAGACAGCCTCAAAACGAGTTGATCTGAGACACACTTTACAGGGTTCCTGCATATCCTTAAAAAGTCTTAAAAGGCCTTGAATTCATCAATTAAAAATAAGGCCTTAATTAGCCTCATAATATCTTAAATCAATCTTCAAAAGTCTTAAAAATGTTACATTGTAAATAGGATGACTGTAATTCATCTCAAATACTAAAATAATTGGTAACATGTATTT